AATTGAAGTAATTCAATGTAATCAGTAAACATTACTCATTGATAAACAATATTAATTATACGAGGTATATGACACACTAAACACGTTTATGCGTGCATTTCGCCCCACCATAAAATCGAAGCTAAAATTAATTCACCGTCCGATTTATGTGTGAATTTAAAGAACTTGATATATCAGTTTGTGAATTGATGAAAACAAGTAAAAGGTTAAAATTCTGCGGACCAACCTCATCAACAACGACAAGGTTTCAGCTTCAGCGTACAACGCTGGACATTATGGTGATTCCTGAGGTCGTAGAAATAAGTCAGACTATCTCTGCTGGTTTCACAAAGCAAGCGGGAGACAGAAGAATATGAACGGGACATATTGCAGGAGGATTGTGAGCTGAATTCCCCCCTAGAGTTGGGTTAAGTCACGAGGTTAAAATTGAAACCAATGCTAGAATACAGTAAAAGAACAAATGAAATTTGTAACGGGAAACGATCTAATCATCGACATGTCCATTTTTCTAGCGACGTTTCCCATTAACATCGTTCTAGAAAAATTCCCTCTTAGGGTGTTTTAGAAGAGTATCGCCCGTCCTGACAGGGTTGATTCCAGGAGTTTTATTTATCGCAGAAAATTGAAAAAGATCACTGAATGACTAATTGGGACGCAATTTGGGGACTAAAGGCATTGCTTCCATGTCGAAATCTGAAGAATTTAACCGTGTCACCGACCTATGAACCAATTTGAGTGCGCAGTCGCGAGGAGCATTAATGAAAAGATTCAAGGCATTTGATGACTGATCCAGCATGCAAAATTTAGTAAAACGCCAAAGAAGATAGCAGTGAAGAAATGAGTTATTTGTGAAAATCAGTAATCTAAGTAAGAGTAGTGAAATGGCATGGTAAATACCCGAACCAAATAAAAGATATACTTGGGTACAGCATGAGCCGACTATCACAGAAAGGACGAGAAAGAATTACAAGAATGTTGGTTAAGTAATACAAAATAAAGCAAAAGCAATAAGATAGGTATGTACAACACTTGAGAAGTATGTGAGGCGAGAGGGGGTCGGAAATACGCATCCGGACAGCCTCGAGTTTGTGGACGGATGATTGACACGTCTCAGACCGTGGTCTTCCATTCAATCAAATATCGAAGACAAGCTTGAGCCTCGTTGTAGACCAGATATTCACTGTGATAAAACTCGGATTTGACTTTGCGGCGCACTGGCGAACTGTACGGAACGGTAACTTTTATTCCGTCTAATATTAGTTCCCTACTTCCACCAGGCTCTGATCGTGACCACCGAAATGCAAAAATATCGGCACCAACCGGAACAGAATCGTTACACGAGTGGTACATGGAGTTAGGCATGAAACGAGAAGAACGATAAACAAGTTGAAATCTCAATGTAATCGAATAAATCATGTTTTAAAACTGAAAGTTTGAGGGAGTTAAATGACTAATTCCAGGCTCTCGCAACTGGTCTGTATATTAGTGCATGAAAAAACCTATTGACTCGCGGTGTTGGAAGCCACAAGAACAGACAACAACACATCAATCTGGACGCAAGATTGGCCCGGGCCACACAGCGTCCTGTGCAAACTGAAATGAACTGAACTGAGTATGGAACAACCGGAATCACATCCAATGCCTTGTCGCGAAATGTGGTTGAGATGCATTCATTCGGTATTCTTGGTTTACATAAAGAAACTAAGAACATCGTTTCACTCAAATTATTAGAATTCACTTACATAAGCAATAACAAGTCAAGTGAGCCAGGGGAAATCATCACTTACATTAATAGTCTGGCAACATAGCAAAGGGCTGCAGAAGCACCCTATACCAAAAGACTGTTGGGCTTACCGACCAGTTCGGGTCCAGTAATTCGGGTCGGTGGCTTTGAATGGTCAGGGTCTGGATATACCTAGGTACATTCAGCCTTACACAAAGTAAGCCATCCAAGTTGGAGTCCGTGGTTGCAACACGATCGTAAAATGCTGGAATGATCACGAAGGATTGCCACCAAGATGGTCACGGGATTGAACTGTCTCACCTATGAGGACAGAGGGATTACATTCTGCTCAAGGTCGCAGATGTCGAGACTTGATTTTGGAGTGGCAAATACTGCAAAACCCAAACCATCCAGTTCGACTGCTGCTCATTTTGTCGCTCAACATATATGGTTTCAAGTTACTGATGCCAAAGTCTAATCTTGAATGCGTGTGTCAATCTTTTTGCACATTGTGCAGTACTTGGAACCAACTATCAAATCTTTCAAGTGAAGACCTGGAAATGTATGTGACGTTTTATCATTCCTTTTTCTGAGAACCGATTCAACTGTTTGAATATCGTATGGGGGCAAGGGAAGTGTGTAAAAAGTGCCCATAATAAAACATTGACTTAGAGTAAATTTTATAATGTGAGCTGCATACTGTTTCATCAGAGTCCAGTGTTTATACTCGGTTTCTACTTTGGTATACACTACAAACGACCAGAAACATAACGATTCCAACAGTGAGGTTGATAGTAGATGAGAGTCCAGTATTCTCCAAGCGACACCCAAAATTATATGGACTTCGTGACTCGGAGAAGAAAGTTTCGGAAAGCTTGATAGTAAAGAACGGTATCTTGGAGCCTATTCCAATCGCGGACGCATCACAGATGAAGTGTCGGCGCGCATACAAAAGGCTCGATTGGCATTTGCCAACTTGAGACATTTGTGGCGCCGTCGCGACATCCGGCTGTCTGTGAAGGGTCGAGTGTGTGCTGCAGTAGTTCGGCCAGTCCTGCTCTACGGTGCAGAGACTTGGGCACTAAGGGAGCAGGATAAAAATAGATTTTCGGTGTTCGAACACCGCTGTCTACGTAGCACTGCACGTGCCTGGTGGGGTAACCGGACTAGCAATGCTGAGGTTAGGCGTAGAGTTTTAGGCAGTCGCGGTCGTCCACTGGAACAAGTGATCGACCTCCATAGAT